TACAATGTTAATAGACGATTTTCAAAACCCTATATCTAAATGTTGTTGCTCATTTGTAAGGTCTACAAATTATTTGTTGAAAAAAATTTACAAACAACAATAATGTATTATTTATATTCACCCGAAAAATCCCAAATACTCACAAATGCTGACTCAACCTATTTACATTAAATGCATCATCTACACCTTTCGCCGATCAATATGCGTTTCACAAATCCTCTCCCCCTATATAAAACCCGGCCGTTCAGGCCAAGAAACAGAACCCCAAAAATACAAAGATCAAACCAAAACACGTATAGAAAAAAGTGAAAGAAAATGGCGACCAAGTTCAATTGGTCCGCTACCAACAAATTGATACACCGCCTCCGCCACTCCTGCTCCTCTTCCCTCACCGGCCTCGCCGGCTTCGGCCGGTCGTCCATGTACCCGATGACCTGCTTCTACCGGTTCCTCGCCGTCCGGGTCAACTCGCTCTTCACCCACCTCTGCTACTTCCTCTCCCTCTCCTTCGTCGGCTACTGCTTCCTCAAGTCCCTCGACACCCGCCGGGGAGCCGAGGTCCCGAGGAGCATCGACTTCTTCTTCACCGCCGTCTCCACCGCCACCGATTCGAGCATGTCCGCCGTCGAAATGGAGGTCTTCTCCGACTCCCAGCTCCTCTTCATGACCTTCCTCATGTTCGTCGGCGGCGAGGTCTTCGTCTCGTTGGTCGGGCTCGTGGTCAAGACCTCCAGAATGAGGAGGTCTTGGATGATGACACAAGCCGACGACAGGGTCATCCCCACCACCGCCACGATGTCAGGAAGTGGTGGGGATGACCCCACCTCCACTCCACGTGGGGGTGATCTCGAATTGAGTGTGGTCTCGTCAGACCACCACTCAATTGGAAAGGAGGAGGACGATGACGACGAGATTTCGTCCTCCATGTCTCTCGACGACGGGGGAAGGATTTTCGAGTACAAGTCGGTCCAATTTTTATGCTACGTCGTTTTGGGCTACCTCGTAGTAATTCACATTCTGGGGGTTTCTGTGCTTTCTCTGTACCTCGCGCTGTCTTCGAGCGCGAGGGACGTTCTGAGGGAGAAAGGGCTGAAGAGCTTCACCTTCTCCCTCTTCACCACGGTCTCCACGTTCGCGAGCTGCGGGTTCCTCCCGACGAACGAGAACATGATCGCGTTCAGGAAGAACGCGATCATGCAGCTGATTCTCATCCCTCAGGTTCTGTTCGGGAACACTCTGTTCCCGCCCTGCCTCCGCCTCTGCGTCTGGGCCGCGGGGAAGCTGCGGAAGAGAAATTCGGACCGGTCCGAGCACCTGCTGAGGAACACGAGGCGGGTCGGGTTCTACCACCTCCTGCCGGGGAGGGAGTCGGCGTACCTGGCTGCCACGGTGGCCGGATTCGTGGCGGTACAGCTGGCTCTGTTCTGCGGGACGGACTGGCGGTCGGAAGGTCTTGAGGGGATGAATCCGGCGGAGAAATTGACCGGGGCGCTGTTTCTGACGGTGAATTCTAGACATTCCGGTGAGTCCATCGTCGATCTGGCCACCGTTTCGACGGCGTCGCTGGTGGTGTTCGTCGTGATGATGTGAGTACTCTGTTTTCTCTCTACGGCTTCTTTCTTGTTTTAGCTTTTTTGCTGAGTTGGCATGTTGAGTCAGATGCTGGCGTCAGATATATTTTATTTTCCCGAGCAACCTTAAATGGGTGCGTTGACTGATATGACTTGCATTATGAGCATAAAAACGTTATTATATTGGAAATGATTACCCAGCTAAGCACTCCTAGTCCTAGGTTTTGGTTTTTTTTTATTATGTTTTTAGAATTAAGGTTATGGATAATTGAGAATTTAATTTACCAATTGTATTTAAGTGCAAGGTAAAGGAATAAATATCAATAATGGTGTATACTTCAAGGTAAATAATCGTTTTTTTATGTGTGTAAGAAACATATGATTAATGGGTTTCACCTACTTTTTACCCTCTAAGAATGTAGTTTAATTTAATATATTTTATAGGGCAACACTAAAAATGCTTTAATATAATAATTTGATAAAAACTATAATATGTGTGCGTACAAAACATGCTGAACAATTTTGAAAAAGGAAAGGACGGTTCATTTATTCTTCAACCATTCTCCTCATTCTAAATCCTGTTTTTCGTCGATTACGTAATTTAGTGATTTTCATCCCAATTTTGATCCAGCAAACAAAATTTAAGTGTCCTATACAGCACTATGCTTGTCTACCACACAAAAGACTGACATAAAATAGAGGTTTTCATTTATTAGGAGGGAAGTGATGGATAGTTGACTTGTTTGTTTACCAATTACCCTCGATGTAATTCCTGGGTTCGCTACTGCATGCATGTCTACTGCTTTCATGTAACCCCAACTCGGCTTCCACATGGGAGGTTGTTTGTCACCACTACTCTGTCACATGGCAAACACTGTGTATAGTTGACAAATCGTCAAAAGTATATTATATACTCCAAATGATCTGATCACGGTGGATGTGATGTACTTTGAAGACGACAAATTGGATAGTGAATTATATTATTGTTCTTTATTTAGATAGTTTCGAATTTGTAATTTAAATACATCTTCAAATTACAATATCAATATTAACTCTATGTGGCACCAATTTTCATTTCTTCCTTTGTAATTTCTTATAGGTACCTTCCACCGTACACGTCGTTCCTCCCGACCACGGGAGGCGAAGAAGAGAAAGATCAGACCAAAATTCAAATGACTGGGGACAGTTATAATGATAACACTACAGGTCAAGTAGTAATAAGCTATAAACATAAGAACAATAGTAATAGGTTTATGGAGAATGTGGTAGTTTCACAACTCTCCTTTCTAGCCATTTTCGTCGTTCTGATATGCATCACCGAGCGACATAGTATGAAGGAGGATCCTCTCAATTTCAGCATTTTCAACATTGTCCTCGAAGTCATCAGGTATATATATATATATCCATTTTTTTCCCCGACATAACGTTTTTTCGTATAGTTTTATTTATACTTATGAACGAACTCGAGCGCGATAGGGTATGCTGACTGTCGGAGAGGTATGAGAACGAGTGAATCTTTCATCTTTTTTTTTTCTTATAAAATTGATTAAATTAATCCAACTGAGTCAGCTCATAGCTAAGTTTGTGAATATTTAATTTGCCAAAGCATTTCATATACGGGGCTTAAAACAATCGTAATAATGCAATTTGTCATGGGAATCGAATCCTAAACCTTTCAATTAAAAGTTCTATATCATACCGCGAGAATTCGTCTATCTCAATTATTATTTATTTTTATTTTTTTGGAAAGAGGTTGTAAGTGAATAAAGTCATAAACACTTAAAAGTAAAACCCCACGCAAGGTTTTTCTTCCCCTCGTCCTTCAGAACACATTCTTTTTCTTTTTTGTGGTGAAACTTGGGGAACATATTGTGTGGTTGCAAACCATCGAGAGAGTATAAATTTTGAGAGGCGGTATATTAACTAAGGGCCTCATATATGTCACGAAAAAAAAAAAAAGATTCCTCGAAAAGACGAAAACTTTTGCACAGTCAAAGTTCGCTGTCCGATTGAGCACCCATTCAAATTCAAATTCAATTCCCCGCAGAATATTTTGAATGTTGGACTCTAGACATAGTTGAATTTTACATTACTAACGTAATGAAATAACCCACTGACTCGGTTCCGTCGCTTCGACTCTAAGGACCGGATTGTGTCAGTTTGTTTTACGCGAGTGCAATTCAGGGTCTGGTCTCTTTTCACGCCCTATGAGGAGCTACGACCCATAATAAATTTCTGATATGAAAATTTTTTCATACCAACACATCGGAACTGTTTGTAAAAGTTTAAGTACTATAATGCAAGATAAAAAAAATAATATATAAACGTACTAAACTGTTTGTTGTATTGTGCAGTGCATATGGGAATGTGGGATTCTCGATGGGTTACAGTTGCCAAAGGCGGATAAATCCTTCCGGCGGCGGTGGGGATTGCCGGGACAAGTTCACCGGCTTGTCGGGGAGATGGAGCGATGAAGGCAAGATCCTTCTCATTCTGGTGATGTTGTTCGGAAGGCTCAAGAAGTTCAACATGGCCGGAGGGAAAGCCTGGAAACTTCTATGATTGGGATTAATGACGTGATTATTAATATTTTGTTTTTCTTCATCAGATGGTAATGTGATCGAGGGCATATATGATTAATTATTGCTCTCTCAAGAGAAAAAAGAGAAGAGAGTTGCTGATTACTATTGGTAGCAAGATGATGATGATGATGGGCAGAAATAAAAATTGTACATATAAAATTACTCTATCATTTTCCAACGGCTGAATTACGGTTGCGACGGAGGTTATCCAACGGCTGATTACGGTTGGTTAGGGGGCGCTAACACCCAATTTGTTAGTATGGTGCTACTACTAGCTCCAGCAATAGGAACACTTTGTTTTGGTAACTTTTTTCAATGGGTTGACCATAATTTATGTGGATTTATAAAGTGAGAGGTCATTATTAAAAAAAGGTAAATATAATATAATAGTCAAACCTTTCGTCTTTAAACAAAATAATAGTCAAACCTTTTCAAAAATAATTTAATAATCAAATCGTCAAATTTTCGTTCAGCCAACAGTTGGTTGACTATGATGTGACCAATACATGCTGACATGGCTGAAAGTCAATAATTTGACTTGCCACATAAATATATAAAAAATTTATTAATGAAATTTTATTATTAAAAAATATAATAACATTAAAATACCTACTCTTTTTTCCCTTCCCCTTCTCCATCTAAGAACAAAAATTCTCATGACCCCTAAATTATTCCCTCCTCCACCATTTTAATTTGGCTCTTGACAGTGGCGGACCCAGGATTTTGAGATAGGTGTGCCGATCAATAAAATTAGATTAAAAACAAATTAATTAACATTAATTAATTTAAAATAAACAAATAAATTTCACCAATTTCATTATTTCTTACATTGAACCACGACGATAACATGATCGTGTTTAGGAAGAACACGATCATGCAGCTGATTCTCATCCCTCGGGTTCTGTTGGGGAACACTCTGTTCCCACCCTGCCTCCGCCTCTGTGTCTGGCTCGCGGGGAAGCTGATGAAGTCGAAATCAGACCGGTCCAATCACCTGCTGAGGAACACGAGGCGGGTCGGGTTCTACCACCTCCTTCCGGGGAGGGAGTCGGTGTAACTTGCGGCGACGGTGGCCGGATTCGTGGCGGTCCAGCTGGCTCTGTCCTGCGGGACGGACTGGTGGTCGGAGGGTTTGGAGGGGATGAACCCGGTGGAGAATTTGGACCGCCACGAATCCGTGGCCAGAAACAAGCCAACAAAGAAAATTACAACAACGGCCGACACCGAGCATCATCAGTTTATATAATCATAACTACAACCGCATTATAAAAATTACAATCTCAATACATACTACAAATTCCCCCTATAATTAACATTTATATTGAGTGTTGATATGGGCTCAATGTTATTTGGGTTCGGGTTCTGGGCCTGGTCTGTAACCGTTTCCTTTGCTAGATTGGATTAGGTTTAGACCCACATGGAGAAGTACTATAAATACTTCTCATACTCCTCTGTAATCTGTAATCTCCTCGATATAGTGAAACTGGCTCTCTCTCGCCCGTGGACTAGCTAACACACATCGTGTTAGTGAACCACGTAAATCGTGTGTCTGTGTTCTTTCGATTCTCGCTCTCGTATTCTTGCTTTATCGATTCCGGCAATTTCCCGATCCGTAGCAGCGCGTTTATAACAAGTGGTATCAGAGCCTGGTTGGAAATCAGGCTAGGGTTTTCGATTCAGAAGAATGACGTCGGTGAACATGAAGATCGAAAAGTTCACGGGGAAGAACAGCTTCGCTATATGGCAGATCAAGATGCAGGCTTTACTAAAACAGCAAGGGCTGTGGGGGCCGCTGTCTGCGAAACAGAAGAAGGCAGCGGTCGATGACGATGAGTGGAATACCCTGGAGGAGAAGGCCCACTCGACCATCATGCTATCGTTGTCTGATGACGTCATCATTGAAGTCGCTGCTGAGAAGACTGCCGCGGGCTTGTGGTTGAAACTAGAGAGTCTGTATATGACTAAGTCTCTAACCAACAAGCTGCATCTCAAGCAACGGTTGTTCAGCTTGAGGATGCAAGAAGGTACGCCTTTGAGGGAACATCTCGAACAGCTTAACTCTATTTTGCTGGATCTGCGTAATATAGATGTTCAAGTTGATGACGAGGATGCTGCCCTAATCCTGCTGGTTTCTTTGCCGAGTTCATATGAGAATTTCGTTGATTCTTTTATTGCTGGTAAAGAAAGCGTGTCGTTGGAGGATGTCAGGTCTGCTCTTCATACGAGAGAGATCAGACATAAGGCGTCCGGATCTGGTACAGGTGGTGAGGCATCGGGTTTGGCTGTTACAGGTGGAAAGGGAAAGAAGAAATCTGGTAAAGGGAATTCGAGCAAGAATTCCAAGGGTCCCGGTCCACAGCCAGGTGATGCTTGTCACAACTGTAAGGAAGTGGGGCATTGGAAGTACAACTGTCCCAAGAGAAGAGGGCAACAGAAGAAACAAGGTTCAGTTGCCGTGGCAGAAGTGGACAACAGTTCTGAAGACGATCTCGCCTTGGCTGTAGATGAGAAGGCACATCGTGGTGATGTGTGGTTTCTGGATACTGCAGCCTCATATCATATGTCTCCGAACAGGGATTGCTTCACAACCTATGAGCAGATAGATGGTGGTAACGTGGTCATGGCAAATGGAGCTGTCTGCAAGGTTGTTGGAATCGGGTCCATAAAGGTTCGGACACATGATGGTTCGTTCTGTACCGTGAATGATGTCAGACATGTTCCACGAATGACGAAGAACCTGATCTCCTTGAGTCTACTCGACAGCAAGGGTTTCAGTTTCAAAGGAAAAGGTGGAGTTGTGTATGTCTGCAAGGGTTCGAGGAAGGTACTGAAGGGCGTGAAGCGTGGGACCTTGTATGCATTACAAGGGTCTGTGTTGTCTGGTTCTGCTGCAGTTGCATCGTCTCAGGTTCAACAGGAAGATATGACCACTCTCTGGCACATGAGACTGGGGCATATGAGTGAACGGGGGATGCAAGTTCTATCGAAGAGGGATCTTCTTTGCGGGCACAAGGTGCAGAATTTGGAATTCTGTGAGCATTGTGTGTTTGGGAAGCTACATCGCAGCAAGTTTCCCAAGAAGGGTATCCACCGGACAAAGGGGATACTAGATTACCTCCACTCCGACTGTTGGGGTCCTTCACGAGTTGAATCCATTGGAGGCAGCAGGTATTTTCTGTCTATTATTGATGATTATTCGAGATTTACTTGGATTTTCATGATGAAGCATAAAAGTGAGGCTTTCACGAAGTTCAAGCAGTGGAAGACATTGGTGGAGAATCAGACCGGGAAGAAGATCAAGAAGCTGCGAACGGACAATGGTCTGGAGTTCTGCAGTTCTGAGTTCAACGAATTCTGCAAGGATGAAGGGATTGCCCGTCATCGGACTGTTAGAGATACACCTCAGCAGAATGGCGTTGCAGAAAGAATGAACCAGACATTGTTGGAGAGAGCACGGTGCATGCTCTCTAATGCTGGACTAGAGAGAAGATTCTGGGCAGAAGCAGTGAACATGGCGTGCTTCCTGATCAACCGTGGACCACACACAGGTATCGAGTGTAAGACTCCTTATGAAGTGTGGTATGGTAAGCCTGCTGATTACTCTTCACTGAAAGTGTTTGGGTGTCCTGTTTATTATCATGTGGATGAGGGTAAACTGAACCCAAGGGCAAAGAAGGGTGTATTTGTGGGTTACGGAGATGGAGTTAAGGGATTTCGAGTCTGGTCACCTTCTGAGCATCGAGTTATACTTAGTAGAAATGTGATATTTGATGAGAAGTCTATGTTTAACCCCATGTTGAAGGTTACTGTTGTTGAAGGTAGCAGGAATGTTGATAAACAGGTGGAGCTGCAAACTCTCAATGAGAGTGAGTTTGAGCACCAAGGTGGAGAAGATCAACATGATGAGGATGTCTCTGCAGAGCCAGAAATTTCAGAGTCCAGTGCACGAGCTCAACAGTCTATTACTTCCGGTAGACCAAAGAGAGCGACTGCAGGAGTACCTCCACAGAGGTATGGCTTCGAGGACATGGTGGCGTATTCATTTCAGGTTGCTGAGGAAGTGGATGCAGGAGAGCCACAGTCCTATAGAGAAGCAGTTTCGGGTGGTGAAGCCGATCAGTGGCTTGCCGCAATGGGAGATGAGATGGAATCCCATGACAGGAATCAGACTTGGGAGCTAGTCAAACGACCACAGGGAAGGAAGATTGTTACAAACAAGTGGATCTACAAGAAAAAGGAAGGAATCACTTCCAAAGAGGGCATGAAATTTAAAGCTCGGGTGGTTGCACGAGGCTTCTCGCAAAGGGAAGGAGTTGATTACAATGAGATTTTCTCACCAGTGGTCAGACATACTTCGATCAGAGTGCTACTAGCAATAGTGGCACATTATGACTTGGAGCTCGAGCAGCTAGACGTGAAGACAGCTTTCCTACATGGAGAGTTGGAAGAAGAAATTTACATGACTCAGCCAGAAGGATTCGAGGTTCCTGGAAAAGAAGACTATGTTTGTAAGCTGAAGAAGTCCTTGTATGGACTTAAGCAATCTCCGAGGCAGTGGTACAAGAGATTTGACAGTTACATGCTTGAGCTGGGCTACAACAGAAGTCCATATGATTGTTGTGTATATCACAGCAAGGCAGAAGATGGTTCGATGATATATCTAGTTCTGTATGTGGATGATATGCTCATAGCTGCGAGGTCAAAGTCTGATATCCAAAAGTTAAAGGGGCTTCTCAGTGCTGAGTTTGAGATGAAGGATTTGGGAGCTGCTCAGAAGATCTTGGGTATGGAGATTTACAGGGACAAGTCGAAGAAGAAGCTTTTCTTGTCACAGAAGAGCTACATCCAGAAGATATTGTCGAGGTTTGGCATGTCTTCAGCAAAGCCCTTAAATACTCCTAGTGCTTCAAATGTTCATCTATCCTCAGCTTATGCACCGCAGTCAGAGGCTGAGAAGGAGTACACGTCGAGAGTCCCATATGCTAGTGCAGTAGGTAGCTTGATGTACGCTATGGTATGCACTAGACCTGATCTTGCACATGCTGTTAGTGTTGTCAGCAGGTTTATGATACAACCTGGGAAGGAGCATTGGCAGGCTGTGAAGAGGATCTTCCGGTACCTTAAGGGTACACCTGATGTGGGGATTAGCTTCGGAAGTGATGCAGAGTGCTTGGTGTCTGGGTATTCTGACTCGGACTATGCTGGAGATGTTGACACGAGGAGATCGATGACCGGTTATGTATTCACTCTTGGGAGTTCTGTAGTGAGCTGGAAGGCAACTTTGCAGTCGGCGGTGACATTGTCTACTACTGAGGCAGAGTATATGGCGTTGACAGAAGCTGCTAAGGAGGGAATATGGTTGAAGGGACTGGTTGGTGATCTGGGTCTACATCATGATCAGGCAGTGGTGTATTGCGACAGTTTGAGTGCAATATGCTTGGCCAAGGATCAAGTCCACCATGAGAGGACTAAGCACATCGATGTGAGGTATCATTTCTTGAGGACAGAGAAGAGGATTAAGGTGAAGAAGGTTGGCACCGCGGATAATCCTGCTGATATGTTCACGAAGCCGGTTCCACATGGCAAGTTCCAACACTGCTTGGACTTGCTGAATGTCTTGAGTGGGTGACTCCGCCCTACGGGGCATTGATGGCGGGAGAGAGAGAAGGAGCAGAGTACATCAGAGATTTCAGAGGAAGAGGATTCAAGTCAAGGTGGAGATTTGTTGATATGACTTGAATCGGATTATCAGCCGCTGGGGTCCAGGGGCAACGCCCCGGTGGGGGTGCGGGGGCAACGCCCCCGGCCCACGGTGTATGGGCTCAATGTTATTTGGGTTCGGGTTCTGGGCCTGGTCTGTAACCGTTTCCTTTGATAGATTGGATTAGGTTTAGACCCACATGGAGAAGTACTATAAATACTTCTCATACTCCTCTGTAATCTGTAATCTCCTCGATATAGTGAAACTGGCTCTCTCTCGCCCGTGGACTAGCTAACACACATCGTGTTAGTGAACCACGTAAATCGTGTGTCTGTGTTCTTTCGATTCTCGCTCTC